CGACTCACTCTCGTGGCTTCAAGGCGACTCACTCTCGTGGCTTCAAGGCGACTCACTCTCATGGCTTCAAGGCGACTCACTCTCATGGCTTCAAGGCGACTCACTCTCATGGCTTCAAGGCGACTCACTCTCATGGCTTCAAGGCGACTCACTCTCATGGCTTCAAGGCGACTCACTCTCATGGCTTCAAGGCGACTCACTCTCATGGCTTCAAGGCGACTCACTCTCGTGGCTTCAAGGCGACTCACTCTCGTGGCTTCAAGGCGACTCACTCTCGTGGCTTCAAGGCGACTCACTCTCATGGCTTCAAGGCGACTCACTCTCATGGCTTCAAGGCGACTCACTCTCATGGCTTCAAGGCGACTCACTCTCGTGGCTTCAAGGCGACTCACTCTCGTGGCTTCAAGGCGACTCACTCTCGTGGCTTCAAGGCGACTCACTCTGGTGGCTTCAAGGCGACTCACTCTCATGGCTTCAAGGCGACTCACTCTCATGGCTTCAAGGCGACTCACTCTCGTGGCTTCAAGGCGACTCACTCTCGTGGCTTCAAGGCGACTCACTCTCGTGGCTTCAAGGCGACTCACTCTCATGGCTTCAAGGCGACTCACTCTCATGGCTTCAAGGCGACTCACTCTCATGGCTTCAAGGCGACTCACTCTCATGGCTTCAAGGCGACTCACTCTCATGGCTTCAAGGCGACTCACTCTCATGGCTTCAAGGCGACTCACTCTCATGGCTTCAAGGCGACTCACTCTCATGGCTTCAAGGCGACTCAATCTCATGGCTTCAAGGCGACTCACTCTCATGGCTTCAAGGCGACTCAATCTCATGGCTTCAAGGCGACTCACTCTCATGGCTTCAAGGCGACTCACTCTCATGGCTTCAAGGCGACTCACTCTCATGGCTTCAAGGCGACTCACTCTCATGGCTTCAAGGCGACTCACTCTCATGGCTTCAAGGCGACTCACTCTCATGGCTTCAAGGCGACTCACTCTCATGGCTTCAAGGCGACTCACTCTCATGGCTTCAAGGCGACTCACTCTCATGGCTTCAAGGCGACTCACTCTCGTGGCTTCAAGGCGACTCACTCTCGTGGCTTCAAGGCGACTCACTCTCGTGGCTTCAAGGCGACTCACTCTCATGGCTTCAAGGCGACTCACTCTCATGGCTTCAAGGCGACTCACTCTCGTGGCTTCAAGGCGACTCACTCTCATGGCTTCAAGGCGACTCACTCTCGTGGCTTCAAGGCGACTCACTCTCGTGGCTTCAAGGCGACTCACTCTCATGGCTTCAAGGCGACTCACTCTCATGGCTTCAAGGCGACTCACTCTCATGGCTTCAAGGCGACTCACTCTCATGGCTTCAAGGCGACTCACTCTCATGGCTTCAAGGCGACTCACTCTCATGGCTTCAAGGCGACTCACTCTCATGGCTTCAAGGCGACTCACTCTCATGGCTTCAAGGCGACTCACTCTCATGGCTTCAAGGCGACTCACTCTCATGGCTTCAAGGCGACTCACTCTCATGGCTTCAAGGCGACTCACTCTCATGGCTTCAAGGCGACTCACTCTCATGGCTTCAAGGCGACTCACTCTCGTGGCTTCAAGGCGACTCACTCTCGTGGCTTCAAGGCGACTCACTCTCATGGCTTCAAGGCGACTCACTCTCATGGCTTCAAGGCGACTCACTCTCATGGCTTCAAGGCGACTCACTCTCATGGCTTCAAGGCGACTCACTCTCGTGGCTTCAAGGCGACTCACTCTCGTGGCTTCAAGGCGACTCACTCTCATGGCTTCAAGGCGACTCACTCTCGTGGCTTCAAGGCGACTCACTCTCGTGGCTTCAAGGCGACTCACTCTCGTGGCTTCAAGGCGACTCACTCTGGTGGCTTCAAGGCGACTCACTCTCATGGCTTTAAGGCGACTCACTCTCATGGCTTCAAGGCGACTCACTCTCGTGGCTTCAAGGCGACTCACTCTCGTGGCTTCAAGGCGACTCACTCTCGTGGCTTCAAGGCGACTCACTCTCGTGGCTTCAAGGCGACTCACTCTGGTGGCTTCAAGGCGACTCACTCTCATGGCTTCAAGGCGACTCACTCTCATGGCTTCAAGGCGACTCACTCTCATAGCTTCAAGGCGACTCACTCTCATGGCTTCAAGGCGACTCACTCTCATGGCTTCAAGGCGACTCACTCTCATGGCTTCAAGGCGACTCACTCTCATGGCTTCAAGGCGACTCACTCTCATGGCTTCAAGGCGACTCACTCTCATGGCTTCAAGGCGACTCACTCTCATGGCTTCAAGGCGACTCACTCTCATGGCTTCAAGGCGACTCACTCTCATGGCTTCAAGGCGACTCACTCTCATGGCTTCAAGGCGACTCACTCTCATGGCTTCAAGGCGACTCACTCTCGTGGCTTCAAGGCGACTCACTCTCGTGGCTTCAAGGCGACTCACTCTCGTGGCTTCAAGGCGACTCACTCTCGTGGCTTCAAGGCGACTCACTCTCATGGCTTCAAGGCGACTCACTCTCATGGCTTCAAGGCGACTCACTCTCATGGCTTCAAGGCGACTCACTCTCATGGCTTCAAGGCGACTCACTCTCATGGCTTCAAGGCGACTCACTCTCATGGCTTCAAGGCGACTCACTCTCATGGCTTCAAGGCGACTCACTCTCATGGCTTCAAGGCGACTCAATCTCATGGCTTCAAGGCGACTCACTCTCATGGCTTCAAGGCGACTCAATCTCATGGCTTCAAGGCGACTCACTCTCATGGCTTCAAGGCGACTCACTCTCATGGCTTCAAGGCGACTCACTCTCATGGCTTCAAGGCGACTCACTCTCATGGCTTCAAGGCGACTCACTCTCATGGCTTCAAGGCGACTCACTCTCATGGCTTCAAGGCGACTCACTCTCATGGCTTCAAGGCGACTCACTCTCATGGCTTCAAGGCGACTCACTCTCATGGCTTCAAGGCGACTCACTCTCGTGGCTTCAAGGCGACTCACTCTCGTGGCTTCAAGGCGACTCACTCTCGTGGCTTCAAGGCGACTCACTCTCATGGCTTCAAGGCGACTCACTCTCATGGCTTCAAGGCGACTCACTCTCATAGCTTCAAGGCGACTCACTCTCATGGCTTCAAGGCGACTCACTCTCATGGCTTCAAGGCGACTCACTCTCATGGCTTCAAGGCGACTCACTCTCATGGCTTCAAGGCGACTCACTCTCATGGCTTCAAGGCGACTCACTCTCATGGCTTCAAGGCGACTCACTCTCATGGCTTCAAGGCGACTCACTCTCATGGCTTCAAGGCGACTCACTCTCATGGCTTCAAGGCGACTCACTCTCATGGCTTCAAGGCGACTCACTCTCATGGCTTCAAGGCGACTCACTCTCATGGCTTCAAGGCGACTCACTCTCATGGCTTCAAGGCGACTCACTCTCATGGCTTCAAGGCGACTCACTCTCGTGGCTTCAAGGCGACTCACTCTCGTGGCTTCAAGGCGACTCACTCTCGTGGCTTCAAGGCGACTCACTCTCATGGCTTCAAGGCGACTCACTCTCATGGCTTCAAGGCGACTCACTCTCATAGCTTCAAGGCGACTCACTCTCATGGCTTCAAGGCGACTCACTCTCATGGCTTCAAGGCGACTCACTCTCATGGCTTCAAGGCGACTCACTCTCATGGCTTCAAGGCGACTCACTCTCATGGCTTCAAGGCGACTCACTCTCATGGCTTCAAGGCGACTCACTCTCATGGCTTCAAGGCGACTCACTCTCATGGCTTCAAGGCGACTCACTCTCATGGCTTCAAGGCGACTCACTCTCATGGCTTCAAGGCGACTCACTCTCATGGCTTCAAGGCGACTCACTCTCGTGGCTTCAAGGCGACTCACTCTCGTGGCTTCAAGGCGACTCACTCTCGTGGCTTCAAGGCGACTCACTCTCGTGGCTTCAAGGCGACTCACTCTCATGGCTTCAAGGCGACTCACTCTCATGGCTTCAAGGCGACTCACTCTCATGGCTTCAAGGCGACTCACTCTCATGGCTTCAAGGCGACTCACTCTCATGGCTTCAAGGCGACTCACTCTCATGGCTTCAAGGCGACTCACTCTCATGGCTTCAAGGCGACTCACTCTCATGGCTTCAAGGCGACTCAATCTCATGGCTTCAAGGCGACTCACTCTCATGGCTTCAAGGCGACTCAATCTCATGGCTTCAAGGCGACTCACTCTCATGGCTTCAAGGCGACTCACTCTCATGGCTTCAAGGCGACTCACTCTCATGGCTTCAAGGCGACTCACTCTCATGGCTTCAAGGCGACTCACTCTCATGGCTTCAAGGCGACTCACTCTCATGGCTTCAAGGCGACTCACTCTCATGGCTTCAAGGCGACTCACTCTCATGGCTTCAAGGCGACTCACTCTCATGGCTTCAAGGCGACTCACTCTCGTGGCTTCAAGGCGACTCACTCTCGTGGCTTCAAGGCGACTCACTCTCGTGGCTTCAAGGCGACTCACTCTCATGGCTTCAAGGCGACTCACTCTCATGGCTTCAAGGCGACTCACTCTCGTGGCTTCAAGGCGACTCACTCTCATGGCTTCAAGGCGACTCACTCTCGTGGCTTCAAGGCGACTCACTCTCGTGGCTTCAAGGCGACTCACTCTCATGGCTTCAAGGCGACTCACTCTCATGGCTTCAAGGCGACTCACTCTCATGGCTTCAAGGCGACTCACTCTCATGGCTTCAAGGCGACTCACTCTCATGGCTTCAAGGCGACTCACTCTCATGGCTTCAAGGCGACTCACTCTCATGGCTTCAAGGCGACTCACTCTCATGGCTTCAAGGCGACTCACTCTCATGGCTTCAAGGCGACTCACTCTCATGGCTTCAAGGCGACTCACTCTCGTGGCTTCAAGGCGACTCACTCTCATGGCTTCAAGGCGACTCACTCTCATGGCTTCAAGGCGACTCACTCTCATGGCTTCAAGGCGACTCACTCTCATGGCTTCCAAGAGGAGGAAGAAGGCAAAGCACACTCCAAAGGCAAGGCGGAGGAAGGCGGGCTGGAGGGGCGGGTCGACCGGGAGAGGGGACGGATGAAAGGGAGAGGGGAGGGACGAAAAGGAGAGGGGGGGGACGAATGGGAGAGGGGAAGGGCGAAAAGGGGCAAGGAGTGGGGTGGAGGAGATGAGGAGCAGGGAGATTCTATGAAGTAGATTAAGCCAGGTGTGCGAATGAGATTGAAGTTTCTTGGACAGCTTGACAACATTGCAATAAAGATTCAAGCATTCCGGATTGACGCCTTCTGTCCCCACTCCACACTCCCTCTCGTCCCACCATCCTCTTCCTTGCAACGCTCTAAGCAATCTCTCTCCCTGCAGCAGCATGGCTTATGGGTCACCTGCAGCCGCATTATGGGTCACCTGCAGCAGCATGCATCACCTGCAGCAGCATGCATCACCTGCAGCAGCATGCATCACCTGCAGCAGCATGCATCACCTGCAGCAGCATGGGCGGGAGGAACATGGCGAGGGCGAGCACGTGGAAGGCCTTGCGCAGCACCACGTGGGGCACCACGTGGGGCACTGGGGGGACCGCCGCCGGGGGGGGAACAGCGGGGCCAGTGGATGGCGTGGGCGAAGCAGCGGACAGGGGGGGGGCAGAGGGGATGGTGTGGGGTGTGCGCGTGGAGGAAGGGGCAAGACGGGAGAGAAGCGGCAGGAGGAGGAGGAGGAGCAGCAGCCAGTAGAGCCAGAGCGGCCCGTTGGCCATTACCTCCCGCAGCCACCTGCAGTGAGTCGTGGCGTGGGGGGGAGAGGAGGGGGAGAGGAGAGATCTAGGTCAGCACAGTGAATGCAGGCGTGCAGTGAAGAGTAAGACGGAGGAAGGAGGGAGGGAAGCAGAGGTAAGGAGGAACAGAAAGGGGAGGGCAGTGGAGATCAGGAGGGAAGAGGGCTGTGGGCAGGAGCGATGGCTGGGTGGTGACGATGCGAGGAGCCAAGGCGAGACATGCAGGAGGTGATGGCGAGACATGCAGGTGGTGATGGCGAGACATGCAGGTGGTGAGGGCGAGGCAGGATAACGGGAGCAGTGGCAGTGAGGAGGATGTGAGCGGAAGAAAGAGAAAGAAGTGGTGGTGAGGGGCAGACCAGAGCATAGGGGGCGGTGGCACGTGCGTGGCGTGGGCGGCGAGGGCGAGCCAGAGCGGCACGAGGTGGCCCAGCAGCAGCAGCAGCGCGGCGTAGAATGCTGCCGTGCGCCCCCCGTGCTGGCCTGGGCGCGTGGCGCTTGCAGGCGAGGAGACGGTGGAGGCGAGCAGAGGAAGCAGCAGCATCGCCAGCACGAGGGCCTAAAGGGTGCAGGGGGGTGGCAACACAAGGTATTGGGGTGTGCTGGGTGGTGGATGATGCAGTGGTGACAGAAGCAGGCGAATCAACAAGGCAGTTCAATCCGCAACAGCGCGTGCTGGCATCACCTGCACACTGGCATCACCTGCACACTGGCATCACCTGCACACTGGCATCACCTGCACACTGGCATCACCTGCACACTGGCATCACCTGCACACTGGCGTCGGCGCGCGCGAGAAAGAGGTCGATGGAGGACGACGAGGGTGGCGCGGGGGGGAGAAGGCCGAGCGGCAGCACATGGGATGGCAGAAGCTGCAGCGCGTGGGTGGTTGGGTTGACTCGTGGGTGATGGGGGGTTGGGGGGTGGGGGAGTGGGGGAGTTGAGGGATAAGATAGGAAGACAGATGAGCGATGTGGATGGGAAAGGTGTGACAGGTGATGTGGAATCATGATGTGATGAACCAATGTTGGGCATGGGGGACAGGAGGGCACGCACGTCAACACGAGAGGCAAGGTGGCGCGAGGCATGGCGGTGTGAAGCAAAGCTGGAAAAATCGCTCAGCTGTACTTGCGTATTAAGATTATACGCTACAAAAATATGTACGCTGCATTTTTCTGCGTGAATACGCCAAAAAACCATTGGGCAGACCGGAAAAAGTAAACAAAACAGAAGCTGGGTTCTGACTTCGTGACGTGGGAACGAAAATTTGGTCATCGCACATCGCAATCTCAACTTCGAAATTGAATTTCGAAGCAGATTCACAACAACCCCTTCTGCTGTGCACCTCGCCCTTCGTGCTGTGCACCTCGCCCTTCGTGCTGTGCACCTCGGCCCGCGGACTTTTTTTTAAGCGCCTGGGCCTGCGTATTCACTGCGTAACGTACCAGATCCCTCCGGAGAAGCGTTCGGCATTTAAACGCTAGCTGATAGATGCTAGCGTATATTCTAACTTAGGCGTGAAGAATGGTGACATGAGGCATGGCGATGGTGACATGAGGCATGGCGATGGTGACATGAGGCATGGCGATGGTGACATGAGGCATCGCGATGGTGACGAGAGCGTGCCTGAGAGCAGGTGATGGCGATGGCATGCACGGCATACAGCGACGTGCCCTGCGCCAGCAGTAGCGCCTCGCCTGGCAGCATCACAGCAGCAGGGGCAGGCAAAGTGAGAATTTCATGGGTGTGAGTCGCTTGTTTAGAACAGAGTAAGGAATCCACTCAGCACTTGTGCTACTTGGGATACAGCACGAATGCATGCATGGGTGAACGCAGCTGCCGAGGCACATCGAGCCCACCCACCCACCTGCTGCCCCCCACCCACCTACCACGTGCTGCTCAGCTGCTCTCACCAGGAGTGAAGCTGCGAGGAAACTTCAGCAGGAAGGTGCGCAGCAGCAGGGCGCAGAGCAGCAGGTGCAGCGCCGCCACGCTGGCTGGGTGGCGTGGGGAGGGGCGAAGAGGGGGGCGGCAGAGGGGAAGGGCAGGCGGAGAGAGCAGGGGAGGGTGCAGGGGAGGGTGCAGGGGAGGGTGCAGGGGAGGGTGCAGGGGAGGGCGAACGGTCATGATGGGGCATAGAGATAAGGGGGGAGAGCGAGGGCGTAAGCAGGTGGCATGAGAAGGGAGGGTGAGAAGGGAGGATGAGAAAGGAGGATGAGAGGGAGGGTGAGAAAGGAGGGTGAGTGAGAGGGGAGGTTGAGAAGGGAAGGTGAGAGGGGAGCAGAGAGCAGCATGTTCGAAAGGACAGAGAAAGCCACCTCAACCCGCCCTTCCCCGAGCATTCCATCTGCACCTCTACCTCACCTGCTGCCATCCGCCATGCCACGTCAGCATGGGCATGGCAGAGCAGCAGCACGGCAGCAGCACCGGCGGCCAGCCACGCGCCGAAGAAGCGCCGCTCAAACGCCCCCACGCCTGCATCCATGCGCCCCCCGTTGCTGCCCTCCTCGCGTCCCCCGCCCCTCCTTCTGCCCCCTGCATGCCCTCTCCTGCCCCCCTCCTCCCCCCCTCCACTGTCCTCGGCCGTCCCTCCCTTGGCTGCCGCCTGCTCGAGAGCTGCTCGGCGCAGCGCAGGGTGGCCAGCAGCGGCTGCCGTGCCGGCCACTGCAGTCAGCGAGGTCACCAGGGACGCGTGCAGCAGCACCAGCAGCCAGGGGGGGAATGAGGGAGGAGTAGAAAGCGGTGCAGAGCGGTGCAGGGCGCAGACAGCGGCAATGGCAGCGGAGGGCGTGATGGCAGCGAGGTGCAGCCCCGGCGAGGATGCGCCCAGCCTGGTGGCGCCGCGGCGAGCAGGGGAGGGCAGCGAGGGGTGGTGAGTGCGTGGCAGGGATGGTCGTGGCAGGGATGGTCGTGGCAGGGATGGTCGTGGCAGGGATGGTCGTGGCAGGGATGGTCGTGGAGGGATGGTGGTACAAGCGGAGGAGGGGCAAAGAGGGGGCCAGGCAAGTGAGGAGGAAGACGATATGATCCCCATCCTACCCCACCCCACCCTCCCATTCCCCACCTGGGCTGCAGCACGTGGAAGGCCGCTCCCCAGCCGCGGCACTCAGCGCCCACAGCGGCGGCCCACACAGCCGCCATGGCCGCCACAGTGCCGCCTGGCAGCACTCCCCGCAGCGCCACCCGCGCCACCACCCACGCCGCCGCCCCCACCAGCACCACGCTCTCGCGGGCGCCCGCCGTCTCCAGCCCCGCTAGCCCCCGTGATGCCCCGCGCCCGCTGCCGCGCCCGTCCCCCTCTTCCCCCACACCTCGCATCTTCCCTCGCCAACCCCCCTCGCCCTCTCCCATCGCCCTTTCCCGCCCGCCCCCCCCTCCCGTCCCGCCCCCTCCTTGCGGTCGGCCCATGCCCCCACCCGCGCTCGCACCCTCGCCCCGTGCTCTCATCACCCCCTCACTCCTCCCATCGCCCGCGCGAGGTCGCTGCGACGCCATCGCCAATGAACGAGGCTGCGCGGGGAAAGAGGGCGAGAATTCCAGTGGGCGAAGCGAGCGATGGCGACGCCAGCAGCAGCTATCGCGAATTCGACGCACGCCGCGATCCGCAACGAGGCGAGCGGCACCAGCCGCGACGACCGCGGAGGCCAGCTCCTCGCTACTGCCGTCACAAAATAATGGGCTAGAAACAAACCTAAAGCATTTCCAGCATCATTGCTGGAGGACTACCTTGCGTAATCCCCGAAATGTGTGACAATGTCAGAGTTGATTGTATCAGGATTCCACGTCACGTTCGGCAATGATATTTGATTCAGTCCGCCACCAATGCGCGTTCTCGATATAGGGTTCAGAACGCATCTGCTGTTAATGCCTCACATGTAGAAACCACAAAAACATATTATATAACCATCCGTTGTTGTATACGCGGGTTCTCAATATGGAGGATTTCGTCCTGCATTACAATCACAAGAACTGTTGTGTCCTCGACCATAAGTCCCTCTTTTAAATGTGCTTCGATTGCCCAAAAGAAACTGGTAACTGAAATCGATTATCGTAACTCGGTTACCAGTTCGGTTTTACAAAACAGTCCGCGGGGCACTCATAATTTACGTTGCCTTACAATGGATCGTATAGTTCCGCGGCTCAGTCGGTTGTCGCGTGCAATGTGGCGGTAGCGTGAGAGCGTTGTTTAGAAAGTTTGTACAACATATTGTGAAAATAAAGAACGAGGATGGTTGAACTATGAATGAAGTGAGTACATATAGGAAACCCTGATTGGGTTGTACTCCCTATGGGATACCCCACTATAGCCTACACAACAGCATAAGCTATATAATGTTCTGACACACCCCCATAGGCAAAGTGGGGGAGAACAAGTGGTCACAAGACCAGTCAAGCAAAGCAGAGCACGCTCAGGGTGGATCACAAAGTCACCACACAGTCCGAGCACAACGACAAGGCCACAAGGCCAGTTCACATGCAGGAGTACACATATATATATAGAGCTAGACAAGCAAGAGCAGGTATATATATGTAACAGTACAAGCAAGGTCAAGAAGAGAGCAAGTGAGGCAAGACAGGTACAAGACCCAGCTGGGTGCAGAAGCGTTGATGGTCACAAGGCGCAAGTGCCTTGGTGAACACATCAGCAGTGTTGGCCTCAGAGGCCACGTAAGCAAGTCTCAACTGACCACGCTGCTGCAGCTCACGAGCAAGAAAGTAACGGAGAGCAATGTGCTTCGTTCTGTGCTCCAAGCGCTGCTCTCGACACAAGGCCAGCATGGCCTTGTTGTCTACGTACAGCACTGGAGGAGAACGAGGCGGCTCTCCAAGGTCAGTCAGCAGGTAGGTGAGCCAGCGAAGCTCCTGTGCAGCCATGGCCCCGGCGTAGATCTCAGCCTCACAACTGGAGCTGAGAACAGAGGACGAGCGAGTAGCCCGCCACGAGACAGAGCCGGAACCAAGACTGAAGGTGTAACCCTGCGACGACCGCTGTGTAGCCTGGTCGTCTGCCCAAGAAGCGTCCGCGTGCCCAGTGAGGACCACTGGACTCCGCCCTCCAAGCACTAGCCCCATGCCCGACGTACTGCACAAGTAGCGCAACACCCTCTTAGCTGCAGCCATGTGCTCTGGTCGGTGTCTCCCAGGAGCAACATAGCGTGCAAGAATGCTAAGAGGGTATGCAAGGTCAGGTCGTGTGCAGGTCATCAGGTACATGAGGCAGCCAACAAGCTCTGGGTACGGGCCACTCGACTCTACGGACTCATCCGAAGGCAGAGCTGAGAGCGAGTGGCGAGTAGACAGAGGAGTGGCCTGAGGCGAGGAGTACGTGAAGCCGAAGCGCTGAAGGACCTGCTGCACCATGTGTGACTGAGTCAAGGTAATGGTGCGGCGTGCTCTGTCCCGAGTGATCTGCAAGCCAAGGTAGCTGCGCAGTTCACCCAGGTCTGTGCACGTGTGTCTCTTCTGCAGCTCGGACTTCACGTAGGCTAGTCCAGCAGTGTCAGCTGTGGCAAAGACCAAGTCGTCGACGTACACGAGGATGTAGAACGGCGGCAAAGAAGTGTCGGTGCGCAGAAACAACGACGGGTCAGCAGTAGAGGGAGCAAACCCAAGAGCCGCAAGCGTAGTCCTCAGTGTGTCGTGCCACTCACGCGATGCCTGGCGGAGACCGTAGACTGGCCGTCGGAGGCTCCACTGGGTGCCAGGAGGAAAAGTCCCAGTGAAGCCAGGTGGACGGCGCAGCCAGATCTCCTCGTGCAGGCTACCCTGCAAGAAAGCAGTACTGAAGTCAAGAGAGTGGAGCTCGTAGTCGCGCTGAGCGGCTATGTGCAGCAGCACCCGAAGAGTGGTCATCTTCGGGGTGGGAGAGAAGGTCTGAAAGTAGTCAACTCCCTGCCGCTGACTGAAGCCACGAGCGACGTACCGCGCCTTGAAGACAGGTGGAGAGCCCGGCGGCCGCTTCACCCTGAAGATCCACATGCCACTGACGATGTTCGCCCCAGGAGGGGGAACCGCGTCAACGTAGGTGCCTGTGGACTTCCAGGACGCCATCTCTGCATCCATAGCTGCCTGCCACTGAGAGGAGTAGGGACCCTCTACGGCCTCCGCGTAAGAGCGCGGAGTCGGGATGTCTAGTGCATCCGGGTCTCCCTCAGGGGCAAGTAGTACGGACGCGAGATGAGGTGAAGCAGCAGCCAGACACCGGAACTCCTCCTGCCTGTCCTCAAGGACGTCCGTGCCAAGAGCACACTCACCCCCGACGGACGGAGGACAGACAGACGCAGACTCAGCAACAAGACCGGCAGCGTAGTCTAGACGACAACGAGCAGCAAAGTCGACGAGCTCAGCAACAAGCGCAGACGCAGCAGTGGACTCAAGAGAGGGGTCAGTGACGACAGTAGCAAGGAGACGTGTGACAGCAGGACTGGCAGCACGAAGAGAGTCCGACTCCGGGTCAGGAAGAGCAGGAAGAGAGGACTCAGGAGGAGAAGGCAAAGGGGCACGCAGAGGAGCAGTGGACGGACGCAGAGACATCCGGTGCGTGCCAGGGACAGGAGGAGGACGCTGACGCGAACCACGACCACTAGTGCGAGCAGCACGGACAGGCGACGCAGGGCGAGACGCAGGCTCACGACGCTCAGCAAGACCTCCAGTAGGACCAGTGTAGGGAGAAGGAGCGGGCAGTGGGGAGGCCGGCTGTAACTGTAACTGTGACAGGACAGACTGTGGACACTCTAAGGGAGGAGGAGGACCAGTAGAAGGCGGGAGACCAAGAACCTGCTGAAGGAGCGGAACGAAGTACGGTCTAGGCCGCGCGGCGACTCCAGACACAGCAGGGACAGCACCAGTACCCCCAGAGGCAGCACCAGCGCCAGCAGCACCTCCAGCTCCAGGACCTCCAGCAGCACCAGTAGCACCCCCAGCAGGACCGCCTCCAGGACCGACAGCAGTAGCCTCAGCGCCAACGCCCTCAGCAGCTCCAGCTCCAGCACCTCCGGGACCCGCGGCACCAGCACCCTCAGCAGCCGAAGAACCTCCAGCTCCAGCAGCACGCCTCCAGCGCCGGGCAAACCACTCGCGCAGCTCCTGTGGAGAGAGGGGCTCCCGCCGAGGCGAAGCACCCGGAGAACCGCCAGGTCCCGCACCGCCAGACGCCACAAGGGGAGGTCCAGTGGCCGCAGGCTCCGCAGCTCCAGGCTCAGCACCTCCAGACGCAGCACCCCCTGGCTCAGCACCCCCTGTAGCAGCACCCCACGGCTCAGCACCCCCAGACTCCGCACCCCCAGGCTCAGCACCCCCAGTCGCAGCACCCCCAGGATCAGCACTCCCAGACTCCGCACCCCCAGGCTCAGCACCCCCAGTCGCAGTACCCCCAGGCTCAGCACCCCCAGACTCAGCACCCCCAGGCTCAGTACCCGCAGCAGGACCAGAGTCACCAGCAACCTCGACCGGCTCGACTGCGTCTACCTGGGACACACCTGAAGGGGCAGGACCCTGAGGGGGAAGGGGGTCTACCGGGGGGGGACCTGGCACAAGGAAGTGCGGTGGCGGGGGGAGGGAAGGAGTGCGGTAGGGGAAGAGGCGGTAGAAGGGGACTGACTCGTCGAACGTGACGTCCTGGGAGGACAGAACACGACGAGAGGAGGGGTGGTAGAACTGCCACCCTGGAGCGTCAGGGGGGAAGCCGAGGAAGACACAGGGAGCAGCACGAGGGGACAGCTTGTCCGCAGACAAGTCGCGGACAAACGCCCGAGATCCCCAGACACGGAACGCAGACGCATCGCCGACCTTCCCCGTCCACAGCAGAGCTGGGGAGGTCTCCGGCCGGGAGACCCTGGGGTGAAGGTTGATCTGATGCGCCGCGTACCGAACCGCAAACGGCCACAGAAAATGGGGGGCAGCCGCATGCATCATGGACGTACGAGCGACGTCCATGACCATGCCAATGCGGCGCTCAGCAATCCCATTTTGCTGTGGAGAGTCCGGAAGCGTAAAGGTCTGGCGGATGCCTCGTGCACGACAGTAGGCTCGCAGAAGGCCAGAGGAGAACTCTCCACCTCGGTCAGAGTGCAGACGCAGAACAGGAAAGTCCGAGCCGAAGCTCCTCCTGAGCTGGAGACGAGCTGCGCGGATCCAGTCGATCAACACCTCAGTGACATCACCCTTGCTGCGCAAGGGGAAGACTGTGGTGTAACGCGAGTAGTCGTCAACCACCAGCAGGAAGTAGCGCTCGTGACCCTGCCCACGGACGCGGGCGGGGCCCCACACGTCCATGTGAAGCGTCTGCAGAGGAGCCTCTGTCGGGGGAAACTGGGAGGAGTGAGGGGCAGCCCGGAGCCGCCCCTCGACACAGGGGACACAAGAAGGTCCGGGTCCCGAAGGAAGGGGAGGGAGAGACCGGGGAAGACCAGAGACAAGGACACGGGAAGCCATGCCCCGAAGACGAAGCAAGGAGGGGTGGCCAAGACGGTGGTGCCACAGGAGAGTCTCGTGAG